ACAAATATTCCATAATATGGGGAATATTTAACTTGGATTGTATGGGGAACATCAACTTATATTAACTTCTGTACACTGACCAAAAAGCTAAGGTATAAGAAAGCACAAAGTCCAGTGTCTAATGCCATAACCTGATCCAGGGTAAACTTATAAACACCAGAAACTGCAAAGAGAGCGGGAAGAAGATCCATATGGAGGGATGGGGCTGGATCCCTGGCTGGATTCCTGCTTGGCTGGGATGAAACGGGATGAAATGCAGGGGCAGGGCTGGGCTGGGGTTCCCTCCTCACGGCCAAACTCACGGCGTTTATGGGCAGACGAGGGGCGAAGGGTTTGAGTGACAGAAACATGACCGTGCTCACAGTTAATTACGGGTGTTAAAGCTACTAAAAGGTCATGGTGGGATGGAGGTGGGGTGGGATCGGAGCTTCTGCTGACATCTGGCAGCATTTTGGGGAAGTCTGGTTTCTCCTCCTGAGTTGACTCAGGAGCGCTGCTGATTCGCTCGCCGTTAATTGGAGGAAGGAGTAATGAGAACTGACTAATCGCCGAGCCGCGCGCCCTGCAGACTCATTCCGGTGTCAGTCACTATATTTTGCTGATCACTCAGCCAAAAACTAACTTTTCGGGGGATTTCAGTGCCCGGGCAGCCCCCTTCCTTGGCTCATTGTATTTGCAATAGTATTTAGTTGACCTCCCCTATATAATAAGCTAATAAAAGCCCCAGCAGTGGCACAGCTCAGCTGACACAGCAGTGAAGGCATCACAGAATACGCTCTAATTCCTGGAGAGCTGGAGCTGAAGGTCCTAGACACACTAATGTCATTGCTCACCTCTTCAATGTTATTGCAACCCCTGCAAACTAAATTAACAGAGGTCCGTTAGCATCTGCTACACGCACACACCTCTGCTTTTCTGGGCAAACACGCACGAGTGCTCTTACTATATTGTTGGGGTTTTTTTTTCCAGGTAAGGCTTAAAGGATCAGTATTTAATTGCAGCAGTAAGTTCAAGACATGAGACACGGTGTTTGCATTAGAGCGATCTGTCACAAAACTTGGAGGGAAGCAGCAGCAGTCAGATGATCCATCGCGCGCTCACCTCATTTAAATGCAATTCAATTTAGGCAGCCCGTTTGGCACAGAAATTAGAAAGATGACTTAACAAAAAGCCCGGCAGAATACTTCCGAAACCAGGTGTCAGGTCTATTTGTGTGTGACGTTCAAGGAGGAGCCATCCAAAAAAGCCTCTAGCCATTAATTAAGGTGGCAGCCAATGTTTAAAGCCCCCTCCTTCACCCCCCTCCTTTTCTGGCCGTATTTTACATGCAACACAGAATGAAAAATAAAAATAGAGCGATGTGCTCTCCCCTACACCGCAGTGCAAGGCTTAAGAGCGCGGCTGGGCCAGGAGGAGTGGATTTCTATGCAAACAACATACAGAATGCCTTCGTTTAATCAGTGTGTTGCTTTGCACAGATAGGAAAATGAAATGAAGTTAACTGTATAGTTTTCAAGTCACCATTCAGCCTTTCAGCTGAGACAGATGGCTTTTACTTACAGTGCTTCCTCTGGCATTCAGCAGAGGATTTGGCAATCCTCTCTGGGTCTGGTTCTCAGCAATTCTCTGACATGGGGGCAGTTAGCGTCTTCATTGCACATAATAGGGCTGTAGAAGCCAGAAAAAAATGGCTCTTTTCTAGCCAGTTTACCCCTTTCCCATTTGACAGAAGTGACTTTCTTCCCTGTCCCAGAAGTCAGTGCACACCCAGCGTTGACCTCACGCTGGTCGCTGCCAGCGAGGATGGGAGGCGGATGCATTAGCAGAGAAATGCTGAGAGACCACTAATGTTTGCAAAAAACCTACCCAAATCCCCCATTGCCGTCCTTTCCAGGGAATAAGAGAGCCCCAGTTTAACTGGGACAAAGAAGAGGCAGCTTTACCACTGTGCAACCTGGGGCTGCATCAGCTGATAGAGGGAGGGACATGGGAAAACGGGGAGTTGCAGCCCTTCTTCCCATCGCCCAGAAAGCCTAGAAAACTAAATTATTCTGACCCAACAAATCATTGTAACCTCACTTCCTGAAGAGGGTTAACTCCTCATTTACACACGGGCAAGTTAGAATCAAGTATCAAACGTAAGGGACCTGATTCTGCTCGTACTTACACCAGTGTAACCTAATGATGATACGCTTCGTAATTCGCAATTAAAAGTCAAATTACTCACTATTACTCATTGAGTCATCACGGTGGCTTCTTCCCTTCCCTGGTGATAAATCCAGTATCTACTGATGCTGGCAAGCATGGAACAGATCTAAAATAGAGTATTATGGGACAAATAAGTGTGAGAGAGTGATGGCCACATTTGTCAGACCGAAGGCGCTCCAGCATCTACCTCTCAGTTGCCTTCTGGGCTGCAGCTGCTTCTCGAGAGCCTCGTCAGCTCCACACAGGTCCTTTGCTCTCACAGAGCCCACTGACCTCGTCACAGCTCACCTGCTCCTCTCTCTGACCCCAATCTGGGGTCCTGCTCAGAATCTCCCTCTATTTACATCCTTGTCAAGAGGGGATTCGAGGCACAGGGACCAAAACAGGGCTAAACCAAACAGAAGGGATCACCTTCACATCAAGAGTTGGATTCTGCTGTTAATAGAGAAGTGTAGAGTCCTGGGGTAAGTGGAAGGTGCTACGTTTGGAGACATCTCGTACATAATGTATTGCTTTTTCCTGGAGCATGATCCTGCTCTTGGTTGCTCTTCTGTCTCCTCCAAAGGCAGGGCTTTGACGCTGCAGGCAGTGAGGGCACCAGGAGATGCAAGCTACACCCGGGACAATTACAGCTATAAAAGTTTAGCATAAAGCTCAGGAGAGAAGAAAGCAGAACGTTGTCAAGCACCGGCTTTTAATTCTCAAACTGGCTCCTGAAAAAGATAAGATAAAGCCAAACCAGAATAACCAACTTCAGGCATTGCTGGAATAGAAGCAGCTGCTGAGAGCACCTACTAAAGCAGGTAGAGCTTCCTCACTGACTTGCTCCTTGTCCCTTCCAGGTTTTTGGAAGTCTCCTGCCATCAGTCCTGTCCCATAACCAGGGTACAGCATCCAGGTAAAGCAGAAATGTCTGATAGAGAAATGTTTCAGAGAGCGATACAGAAATGCTAACAGGAGCTCTGTGGAACAGTCTTCTCCAATTAGTTACCCGAGGAAGAATGATGTTGAATGACTTACAAAGAACACACAAAGCACTTACTGTTGTACTAATCACCAACTTTCTAAGTAAAATTAGCCAATTTGCTAATTAAGACTCATGACAATCCATCATTACAGTAGTAACTCTGCACTTGAGGTGATTCATCACCCCGTAACCAGCTCCTGCCGCCTGGGGACATGTGCAGGGGCTGCCTCCAGCTCTGCTCCTTCCCTGCTCCGAGCAGTCCTGCTCCTGAGCCACCTCGACCCAGCTCCAGGTGGCTGGTGCTTCCTGAAGGGAAGAAAAATCTGGAAAAAAAAAAGGAGGAAAAAAAAAGAGAAAAAAGGCACAGCTTGAGACAGAAATAACTTTTTTAAGCAGAGATAGGAAAACTAGTTGCCCTTTTGAATGTTGTTTGACCTGGATGATCAGAAACCCAGCAGACAAGTCTCACGAGTCCCAGGTGATATATTTAAAATTAACATCTTGTCCAGCTGATGACGGGGGTCAGAGTCTCCTGCTGAAGAAGGAAGGAAGAACACATCCTGGCAGCAGAGAGAGGATGATGCCTCTGATGACTAAGAAGGGGAGACTCAGAGACTCAGGGTCCATTGAGCACCACTCTTTTGGACCTTCCAGCCAGCGCTTGATCCAGCGGATCGTATGCTTATCCAGGCCATGTGCAGCCAGTTTTTCCACAAGAATTCTATGTGGGACAGTAGCAAATGCTTTTGGAAAGTCCAGGTATACACAATAATCGGGTCATCTTGTCATAGGAGGAGATCAGGTTCATCAGGCAAGACCTGCCTTCCATAAACCCATGCTGACAAGGCCTGATCCCCTGGTTGTCCATTTTGTGGCTTGTGATGGCACTCAAGATGACCTGTTCCATGACCTTCCCTGGTATCGAGGTCAGACTGACAGGTCTATAGTTTCCTGGATCCTCCTTTTTGCCTTTCTTGTAGATGGGTGTTACATTTGCCACCCTCCAGTCCATTGGGACCTCCCCAGTCAGCCATGACTTCCTGTAAATGATGGAAAGTGGCTTGGCGAGCACGTCTACCAACTCTTTGACAATGATGGAAAGTGGCTTGGTGAGCACGTCTACCAACTCTTTGACCACTCTTGGGTGTAGCCCATCCAGTCCCATAGACTTGTGTGCATCCAAGTGGCGTAGCAGGTCACTGATCTCTTCCTCTTTGATCATGATGCTCTCATTCTGCTTCCCCTCCCTGTCTCCTCGCTCATGAGGCAGGGTGTCTAGGGAACAGCTAGTTCCACTGCTAAAGACCCACGCAAAGTAGGCGTTGAGCACCTCAGCTTTTTTCCTCATCCTTCCTGACTATGTTTCCCTCTGCATCCAATAAAGGAGGGAGATTTTTCCTACTCCTCCTTTTATTGTTAATGAATTTATAGAAACAATTTATAATATCCTTAACAGCTATAGCTAGGTTGAGCTCTAGCTCTCCTAATTTTCTCCCTGCACAGCTTTGCTACATCTTTATAGTCTTCATGAGAGACCTGCCCCCTCTTCCAAAGGTCATAGACTCTCTTTTTGGTCTTGAAATCCAGCATTTCTTTAGGCTTTTCCCAAAGATGAAGGAACAGCCCCACCAAGGGCAGGTGAGAGGCTGTTTGATGGGGGTAGCAATCCCAGCTGAGAGGGCCCTCCAACACACCCCTATTTAAAGCCACCTGCGCTGGGCTCCGCTCCCCAATGAGCCACAGCTGCGGCCCCCATGGGGGTTAAAACCGGGGCTGGGGGCGGGATGAAGGCGTCTAGTAGGGGTTTGTCTGTTTGTGCGTGGCCATGGACGACATCTCGCTGCTGGAGCAGTACCTGGAGCGCTGTGGAGGGCAGGTAAAAGCGGGGGGGGAGGCAAAAAAAAAAAAAAGCAAAAAAGAAAATACAGTTGCGTTGGCCGGGAATCGAACCCGGGTCAACTGCTTGGAAGGCAGCTATGCTCACCACTATACCACCAACGCCGCGTTATAACTATGGTCCTCCCTGCGCCTCAAGTATGTTGGCTTAGGCGGTCCTCTGTCGTCTTTTAGGGATCTTTTTTGTCTTAGGTGGCCTGGCCACCATCTCCAGCCCCACCTTGAATAAGCGAGTAGTGGGCTATAATGGTCTAGAGATGCTGGAGATGGTGTCTTGCTGAGGGAGGTTGTCCTCAACTGCCTCAAGGGGAACACTGCTTGCATTTAAACTCTTGCTGTTTGCGAGGACCAGTCTATGTAAAGGGGTGTGTTGGCACTATGGGGTTGGGGGGCTCAGACCTCTTTGTGCTCATTAGCAAATATTTGCAAAAAACCCCATTTTTCCTGGTATTTACAGTAGCCCTCCTGCTCTCAGGTGGTTGCAGAGACCACAGGGTTGAGGGACTAAGGAGAGGGCTGGACTCTGTAGTGGAGCATCATCTTCACCCAGGGAATGCAACTTCTGCACCTGCATCTTGGTGTAAACTGCTTTTTCAGCTCAGAAAAATGGGCTATTTAAATCCAGAGACCCCCTAGTGACAGTCACTAAAGTCAGAATATGGCCCTATAAAGTGTATAACAGGGTGAGGTATAACCAGGGTTTTACAAATGCTACAGAGCTTTTTGTATCCCAGATTTGCTGGGATACTTGCTAATGGCAGAGGGATGAGATAGCACTGCAGAAAGGAGAAAAAAAAATAATTAAAAGTCAGTTGTTTAAAGCAGCTGGATTTGATTTATGTGTACCTGGGTTGCAGTGGAAGTGAAAATGGCTGTTTTCCCCTCAAGCTGCCCCAAACTTTGTGATCTCAGGCGGGATCTATGTGTGAAATCTCCTTGCTGGAGCTGCTGGGAGATGTCCAAAGCTCTGCCAATGATGGGGCCTTCAGTAAAGTTAATTAACCTCCAGTCTCTAGCAATAACCCCTGGCAGCCAGCCCAAGGTAAACATGGTCTTGTGCCCCCTCTCACACGCAGCCCCTCAGCATCTGGCTGAGGAGCAGGCAGTCTTCCCCAGAGCTTAACCCTCTCAGGGCTGTTTCCCAGACCAGTTAGATGGAAACCCAGTGAGAAATTAAGATTTGCTTCCTGTTCCTTCCTCCTCAACACACTTCACTTTCAGTTTGTTGTTTTTTTTTAAAACTTGTTTTACAGCTGATTAATACTTCCAGCCTCATATATCACTCATTTCTCCATCAGCTTATTTCTTTAAGCCATACCACTAACTGTGGGGTTTGGGTTTTGGTTGGTTTTTTTTGACTTATCGCATTCTATTCTCTGATTCCCCTTAGTATGATGTGTGAGCGGTCCCACGGGCTCCCGGCAATTAGGCTTTTTTGTACCATCTTCTCTGCATCATGGCTCATATAAAACTTTCCTAATTAGCTCCTGTACAGCTAAGCCTTAGCCCACTGGAGGTCTTGCAGAGGCTGTGCCTTCCTTCCCCTGTTGCTAACTTGAAAAAAAATCTGTTTAAAACAGATGTATTTTAGTTAGTTAGTTGTAACTGTTAATATGTTTGTATCTGACCTCTTAATTCTCAGATAGAAATTCCCAGATTCTCTTGGATCCTGTTTTCCAAAGAGCTGAGGGGTTAAGGAGTATTGAGTCTAATTCAGTAGCACTCTGTCCACCCTCCATCTCAGATGGGGCTCTGCATCTAGAAGCCAATTTTGGAAACAGTTTTGAGCTCAGGTGTTTGTGATGCTTACAGAGCTAGATCTAGTCAAGCTATTAGGAGCTCTCAGGGAGGATTTGCCACTCTGTAAGAGTTTTCCAAGTGTCTCCAGGCAAACACACAGCAGAGTAAGTGGGAGATCTCCCCGAGTGCATGGCTGTGTTGCTAAGTGAGCTGATTAGTGCAGAACAGAGAGCAGCACTGGCTCAGGGCTGGAAAGCAGTGATCTGGAAACCCTGCTCCCGCCGGAGCTCGGGCAGTTGCTGCCAACTCCAGGGCCTCAGTCTTGTGCACGGCTCCCTGGTCTGATTTGTGCTTGGACTTCTCAAGTCCTTTTGGCTTTGGAGCCCAAAAATGCCTAAATGAACACAAACCCTCTTGTACGGATCTTCTAGTCCAAGCTGTCACCTGCTGTGGGTGTTGGCAGAAACCACCTTCTTGGAAGAAAATGCCCTAACCAAGAAGGGAATAAATCCTTTGTTAAACTCTTGCCTCCTCACATTATGATGCCTTTTAAAATAGCTTTTAATAAAAAACAGCTGATAAAGAAGGGCATTAGTATGCAAGAACTTGCTTGCAGATATGTTGCATGCTTGATCTGGAGATGGATGCTGGCTCTGCTGACTTAAATCACTTAAATCAGGCTGGTGGCCTCCAGCAGCTGAAAAGAATTAAATTGCTCGTGATTCTGTGAGCTGCTGCCCTCTGTTGCACAAACCCAACACAACGCTGAGGCTGTCCCCTAGCAGCAGGGAAAGAGGCTTGTTAATAGACCGAGTGGGAGCTAAAGGAAGCCAGAAAATGCCAGCTGTCTGCCTTGGAAAAGCTCCTGAGCAATGATGTTGGTTAGGTGGATAAGCAAGGTGTGACAGTGGCTGTGAAGGGCAAAGTGCCAGCATTGTCCCTCCAGCCACTGCTAAAGGTATGGCTCTCAGTTTGTGACACTACAGGAGAACTCTAGACTGCTTCTGAAGTGAGGTGGGCACTATAGAAGATACCTAGATTTTTATATGATGGTAGACAAGCAAAGGATGCACTTTCAAATCCTAAGACTATTCTTTGCTATAATACGTATGGGGGGAAAACAATTGAAATTTCCACATTGAATAGAAGATTAATCTTAAATAGTATCAGAGTTAATGTTTTAATATGAGATCCCTAATGACACTTTTTCTTCACGCAAGGATGACCTCTCAACTAGTCCTCAGCTGTTGGCTCGCATGAGCCCTTATGATGTAGACCTTCCAATTCAAACAACTGAAGACGTGGTGTTTGGCTCTCAGTTTAACCAGCCCAAAGAGCTTCCTACAGACTTCTCCTCCGTGGACCTCAGCTTTCTTCCAGATATTGCTCAAGATAGCAAAGAACAAAATCTATCTGAAGATGGCCATGAAATGCAAAAAGGGGTTGATGGGTCGATACCAAGAAATGAGAACGGTGGTGTCTTCATGGATGAAAGCAGCTTGTCACACCCAGATACAACTCAGCTGTCCCCTGAAGCATCTCATGCGTGTCCTCCCCTGACACTAATGACTCCTATGACCCCAGTGACACCTGCATCAGAAAGCTCTGACATAGTTCCTCAGTTACAGTAAGTTTGTGTGTTATATATATAATCTCATAGAATAGTCATGGTTTTTCTTAACTGCAAGGTGAATTCTCACTTGGAGGATGTAGCAAGTATGGTTCGGTCTTAAATGAGGACAGTCTGCTTTTCTGGGGGCAGAAACAGTCCCACCTGAGTGAGGGGAAAAGGACATGAAAAGAAGTTGAGAGAAATTCAGGCCTTGTTAAAAGATCCCGTCCCGTCTAGGCTGGAGTAAGGATGGAGTAGTTTATACCTGCAGAGAATAACATTCCTTCACCTGCCTTAAGACTGCTGAAGAAACTCTGTATGCACTCAGCAGTGGTTCAATTCAAAGCTGTAAAATGCTGCAGTGATGTAGTTCTTGGAAGACACACAAACTCAAGTGTTCAGGGACTAATAATTTTGTACCTTGCTATATCTCCTCCTGTGAGAAACTGTCATTTTGGTATTGAATTACTTAAGTTTTGCCAAAAAGTAGCTTAACGCTAGAGCGGGGTAGAGGTAGGCAGGAAATTAGTTGATGGCAATTATTAATTGGAGTGTGACTTCACATTAAGCTAATAATGTTTGGGGGTTGGCCCTGCAGTGGCTTGCTTCTTGCAATAAGAAAATTCCTCTCTTGTTCCGCAGGAACATAGTGTCGACTGTAAACTTGGCGTGTAAACTAGATCTGAGGTACATAGTTCTGCATGCCAGAAATGCAGAGTATAACCCAAAGGTAAATCTTAAGGAGTCAAAGCTCTACCTGTGATCCCCTTTCTTGGATTTTAATATACAAATTCACCATAAGCTTTATCCTTTTTCCTAATAGAGATGGCTTGACCCACAGGTGAAAGTCACAAAATTCTCCAAATTGGGCCTGTTAAATTAAAAGAAATACAGGGAACAACCAGGAGTATTTTTTTTTTCTTTGAATAAAACCCCAGCAATGAGATGCTGCCAAGCTGTTTCAGAAAAAAGATAAACTCTCCCACTTGTGGCCAGCTCCCTCCAGCTGAAAGGGCTCAAGCAGCCCTCACTGCAGGGGGTGGTTTAAAAACCTTGTTTGAATTAAAGAGAATTACTGGAGTCTGACTGCTATTATGTGATACTTTTAGCAAGTGGCCTGGATTGCAGAAACTTACTGGGAGTAGACTGGATTTCTGTAAGGGTGCTGTGACTGTAGTTTTAAGCCCCCTAGTCCTAAGGGAGTGGAAAATAACTTTAGGGTGGTAAATAAACACTTACTCAAAGCCAGATCATGCTGTGTTGAGCTTTGAAAGTGACAATTCTTGCAAGAATGAACAGTGATACAGCATCAGCGAAATCCCTCAGCTGGACTGTGAAGTATTCCTTTGAATTTGTAGAGGTTTGCTGCTGTGATCATGAGAATCAGGGAGCCACGAACAACAGCCCTCATCTTTAGTTCAGGAAAACTGATCTGCACAGGAGCAAAAAGGTATTTTATTATTTTTTTTATTATTTTTTTCCTTCCCTCTAAAGGTCTGGGTCTTGCAGCTACACCTATATTCTGATGAAGAACCTCATCTTTAGTTCAGGAAAACTGATCTGCACAGGAGCAAAAAGGTATTTTATTTTTTTTATTTTTTTCCTTCCCTTTAAAGGTCTGGGTCTTGCAGCTACACCTATATTCTGATGAAGAACATAAAAAAAACCTTGTTTAAATTACCTAGCAAAAGGGCTGTCATAATTGCAAGGAAAAAAAATGAAGCCCTGGTATTGAAAAAATGTCTAGCTTTCTTCATGATGGCAGTTTAGTAACTACTGAATAGTGTGCTTCTGTCCCTGAATATAGATTGAGCTGAGCAGACACTAGCAGAAAAGCTGCTAAAATGCCCAGGACTTGTTAAGGGGTTATTTGCATTTCTCACCGACTTTAAAGTGAGTTAGGACATAACTTGTGTCTGTCAAGTCTCTCCTCAGTGGCTGCGTTCACTAGTTAACACATCTGCCTCCAGAGAAAATGGGAACTGGAGGAAAGCAAAGATTATTTCTGTACTTCGAAGCTCTTTTTCTCAGGTTCAGCAGCTGCCTTGATTTTTTTTTTTTATGTCCTTAAGCTGTCAATGAGAAAGCATAAATGTACAGCTTAACGGACTTCTTCTCCAACCCCTACCACCATCCCAAACCAGCTAGATGATTGTACTGGTGTCCTATCTCTTGGATCAGCCCTGAGAAGCTGTTTTGAGGAACTGAGAAAGTAACCTCTGAAGAGAGGGGGGAACTCCTGGGTGACACAGCGTGTTCCCGTGTGCTCAAATAGACCGCAGGAAAGTGAATGACAAAGTGCCTTTTCATCTTTAGCTTGCTGAAGTACTTCTAGGGATAGAGGCTTGCTATTTTAAGCAGAAGCATATCTTTTCTGGAGGACAGATGACCACGGTGGTGGCTTCAAACTGACTTCCAGCTTGAGAGCAGCAGAAAGCACAAATGGAAGCTTGCTTTTCCCCTCCTGCTCTTCCCCCAGCGAAGAGCAATCGCGGGTGGCAGCCAGGAAGTTCGCACGCGTGGTGCAGAAGCTTGGGTTCCCTGTTAGGTTCCTGAACTTCAAGATCCAGAATATGGTTGGGAGCTGTGATGTGACGTTCACCATCCGCCTGGAAACCTTGGCTCTCACTCACAAGCAGTTCTGCAGGTAGGTGGAAGTTGGAATTACAACCCCAGGCAAGCTGGAGCGGTGTCTTTGTAAGCTACAGACAGACTCAACATTCTAAGGCTGCACAAGCCTGGGAAAACAGAGTAATGATTAATTGGATGCTGAATATCAAGGATGTCTTTTGGTGAGCAAAAGATGTGCTCGCTGGTCCAGCAGGCATGAAGTGGCTGCAGATGCCATGTGTTGCAATAAAGACAGTAAGGTTTATCTTCTGGGATAACACGTTCAGTCACTTCTGGGGTAAATTAGATCTGGTGAAAAAGGGCTGAAAAACTGCAAGAAGCTCCCGAGTTCTTTGCTCAGTTGGTTAAGAAGATACTCTCTTTTGTACAAGCTTTCTTTAACCATGAATATCATTGACACAATCTTTGGTGTTGCTGCTTATCAGCGATGTGCACCAGAGGTTCTCCTTAATCTGGGTGACGCTGGTGATCACAATTTGATCATTTTCCTGTTATTGCCAAGTGCAATATCAAACCTTAGTGCGTCTTTTTCTTCACTGCAGATTTCAATAGGGAAATAACAGGTCTTGATTAAGCACTTCAGGTTTAATTGGAGCAGCTCTTAAGCTACTTGAACCTGGTCTATGCCTTTGCTCCATTGTGAACCTTTAATACTAAGTGGGGCCTCTTAAGTCCTGTCAAAGCAGACGCCCATCTGCAAGGACGAGGTTTCTCACCTTCAGGCATGAAGCCACGCTGCAAAATACAGAACTGAAAGTATAGTGTGTTTCTGGGACATCACTTCAGTTCTGGATATCTACTAACCATCAATTTAAACCTGTAGCTGAGCGATGGGCACTTCAAAATGGACTTGTTCAGAACTAGTTATTGCCATCACTGAGGAAAGGATGAAGGTTTCAGCACTGACAAAATCCAAATGCAGTTGTGTCTTTTATTAGCAATGCATTTAATATTTTGCGGGCTAAATATATAGTAAAGATTCACTTGGCTGTCATCTTGTCTTAGTTGCACAAGATGCTTCCTGATAAGGGCTCTTTGCAGACTGAGAAGGGTTTGAGTGCTGTTTGAGGATTACAGTAGTGGTTTCGATGCGATAGAAAATAGCATTCAGAAGTGGCTCAGAAATCTTTAAAAGCGAGTGTGAAGAACTCCTACCTGCTCCAGCTGGGACTACCAGGTTTCTCTTGAAGATGTGTGTAATGATCTTTGAAGTCCCTTCCAACCCTAACGATTTCTGTGATTCTGTGATTCTGTGATTCTGTGATTCTGTGATTCTGTGATTCTGTGATTCTGTGATTCTGTGATTCTGTGATTCTGTGATTCTGTGATTCTGTGATTCTGTGATTCTGTGATTCTGTGATTCTGTGATTCTGTGATTCTGTGATTCTGTGATTCTGTCCTGGGTAGCTACCTAAAATCTGTGGGTTTAATTACTCTGTTGTTAGTATAATTAAAGAGCACTTTACGCATACAACACTGAAACAGTATTTACATTTTACTAATCTTACCTGCTTGCTTTGAAACAGTTATGAACCTGAACTATTTCCTGGCCTTGTTTATAGAATGGTCAAGCCAAGGATAGTGCTGCTTATCTTCGTGTCTGGAAAAGTTGTGCTGACTGGTAAGTGGTCTCCCTCTGTACATCTGTAATCAAGTGCTACCACATCTTCTGAGATAGCATTTAGATTGAACATTAGTTAAATCAGTATCTTCCCACAGTAAAGCCACCCTTTTTCCATGCCTACTGCTGCTTGTCTGTCCTTTCTGCAGATAACAATATCAGTATTGTTCCACTAGAATTTCATATTGCTTCATATAGCACCTCTAGACCTTCATGTTGTTAAACGTGAGTATTTTTATTTTATTCAAAGCATAGTGCTATGTGTCAACATACAGAATCCCAACAGGACGCTGACATGCTAGTAACTACCCAATCACTTAAATATGAGTATCACGATAAGCAATTTAAAATTGCTCGAACAGGAAACAAACTTCTTAAGACACTTCACTGACAACATTTAGTAGGGACTGTTAGAGGAAAGGGTGGAGATCTAAGAACTTGTGCCAGACTCTTTGGCAAAACGCTCATGAGGCACAAGCCTTGCTGAGTAAGTGCGCTCAGCAGACATCTGTAGCGCAGATCCCGTGTCACAAAAGTTGAATTTCCTAATAGATTCTTTTGTAAATATCATAAAAATATTTTTATTCAGATGTATGGGAGAGGGTAAATGGTAGTTGGTCCCAGAGGACCTGAATGCTGTATGTATATTTGTAACACAGCTTTGAGGTATGTGAAAGACAAAAGGTGCCTCTCTTTAGCTAGAGATCCTCACAATCATCAATCACAAAGGAGCTCAGCTAGCTGAAGAACGGGGCGCTCAGTACAAAGGCTAGATGCTTCCCCTTCCAATGTCCCCCCACCTCCTCCTTAGGTCCAGTAAAATCATACTGGCCCGTTCCATTCCACTGACACTTGCATTTTTGGGTGCTGTCATTGCAACACCCTCAAACATGCAGCAGGCCCAGAAGCACTAAGGTATGTTCTTGTCTGTGAGCACTGGGCCCGGCTGCGATGACAAGACTGAATGTGCTGAGCTGCAAGGCTGGGATTATTTCCTTATCAAGAAAGAAACTTGAAAGTAACTTTACTTTTGCAAGTAAAAGTTGTAGTAATGCAGATGAATTGGTCATGTCCGAGTGTGTTCTGAGCGAAAGGTTTACGCATTCTTCCTGAGTGCCAATTAATCCAACTACTATCTCATTTAAATGCATTTTTTGCAGCCAATGTTTGGTGCACTAGCATGGTAGAGTAGTGCCACTGCCTGCTGCAATACAATTAGTGTACAAGATTGATAATCAAGGTTTGCTTACTGTAAGATGGAAAAAGGCTGGCTTTGAAATTGCAGGTGCCCTTACAAAGCTTAAAATTAAAAAAGCTTCTCAGCACTGGAGGAGGGGAGTTCTCAAACTGTGGATGAACTCTCAGTATTTAAATAAATGCCCTTCATTTCTTGTCTCTATCTTTCAGCTTTACCAACAGGCAGAGCTGTTACTGTTACTGTTAAGCAGATAACACTATAATTTTTCTCAGTTGCCTTTTTTTTTTTTTCCTAAAGCCAATGTTTTGCACCTGTCAGGAGTACCCAACTCCTGTTTTGGTTCCACAGATCAAGCAAAATTAGTCTACTCTTAAAGCAAAGCAAGCTAAAAACTGTTCTTTGTGAGGTGGCAGAAGTATGATAGAAATACTGCCTTAAATTAACAGTCAGTTCCTTTTAAACTCCTGTGTTTCTTCACGGTGTGTAATCTCATCATTAGGTCTGAGTTGCATTCAGTTATTCTCAACACTCTCTTAATTCTTAACCATTTTTTTTTTCCTAAATGTCTTTCTAGGAGCAAAAGAGCGTTCTGAAATCTATGAGGCGTTTGAGAAAATCCACCCCATTCTAAAAGGTTTCAAGAAAGCATCACAACATGGCCCATAAAGCAACTAAGAATAATAATACATGGGTTTGTATTTCTGCGTGTGGAACACGAGTGAGAGTGTTCCTGGACCCGATTACACCGCTGTGGATTATTAAGTAAATGATGCTGTAAATGCTGATGCCTTTCTATAGTTTGTGGAATCGTTTTGTGCTTTCAGATTAGCTGTCTGTAACCCACTTGAGTTCTGACAACTTCTGTCAAGCTGAAAAAAAATTGCCAAATGAATGTACCTTAATAGAATGCATATTAAGGTGGCACTTAATTGAGAGACCACACATCTTTTTTCCACCCTGTTGAACTGGTGGAACGCTGTGCTTCAAACTAGCTTTATAAATATCCTCAGCTTTAAGCATACTGAAACAAAATACTGTTTTTCATGCTTAAAATCAAAATATATTTTTGTTCTTAGAAAATCCAGCATGACTTGATTTCAGTGTTTTGAAGACAGTAATTGCAGAGGAATCTGTTGAATCCCTCTGATCCTACCGGTTGGATAAACTCTTTGTGTAACCGTGTTGGTATTCCCTTTACAGAGAAGACATTCGAGGCCCCAGACAGCGCTGGAGCATACCTAGAAAGTCTGTGGGTGGAGGGGTAACTAAGCAAATTATCTTATTTGTCATCATACTAATTAGATTTTAACTAAATAGTACCCACTTGTATTGCTGAAGCCCCCTCAGATTATAGGAGTTTGTTGCTTGGCCCAGACAAAAACACGTCGGTTGGAACCACCTTTAAAATGGACTTGAGGAAAAGACAAAGTCTTGGATGCTCAACCTTAATTATCTCTGGTATTTAAGCAGAGTTCAGCCAATGGCACTACATAAAATTGGGTAATTTTGCAGCTAAAACAGTAAGGCTCTTTATCTCCAGGTGAATTCAAGGCTTCCTTTGCAAAAGGTGTCATGGTCAGACCGGAGATGTGACAAGGAACAGTGCAAAGACTGTCCCTTGGCTGTTCTGGTACCTTCTGTGATTCCCTGGAAGCAAGTGCCTTTTCCAGAACAGGGCTTTGATGCTGCTGGGGTTCATCTTGTGTCCTCCCCTCGTTTTCTGCTGAAGAAGGGACAGATCTGTCAGGAAACTCCCTGAGCCACTAGAGGTTGCTGTTAGATGACTTAAGTGTAAGTAAAACAACAACAACAAAAAAAACCCCAAACTATCTGGCCATGAGCTACCTCTGGCCTTGGTGGAAATACACAATCTGGGCAATGGCTTAATACAGGACAGGTCATCATAGTCTTGCTGGGCTTAGTTTTGCTGTCACAAGTTTATTTCTCATCCAGTGAAGATGTGATTTCAACTTCTGGGTCTGTAATATGTCTTGCTAGTGCTTTTGTATCTGTCTGTCTGCTCCTCTGGGCGGGGGGGGGAGAAGTTTGGAAAACATTGTTCACTTCCTTATGATAAAGTGGTCTTAACTATGTTATCAGTTTCTTTGCGAATTTCAAACTGTGTATTTCCACACTCAAATCTATTCTAAACAGAGGCTTACTTTTCTGTTTGTTTTCTAATGCTGGAGACTTTCCACAGCTGGACTTTTTATTTGCACTGTAGCTGTAAAAGCTGATAAGCTTTGAGTTAACACAATGTTTTTGCAAGTGAAAAACAATCTGTTCTTACTGGGATGCTGGAAAAAGTTTTATCTAAAATGAGCCCTCTTCAAGAAATTGTGTTTTAGTGAAGAGCTTGCCACATAATTTCACCGTGGAAGTTAATGTTCTCCAAGAGTATGGGTAAAGTCTTAAATATAAGAAATGGGCTATGTGCCTTCTCACTGAGCTACCGATAACTTAATGTTTGCTATGGTAACTCTTGTCTTAAAAACAACTATCTTGGTTCTACCTACACAGTGCTGTTTGTGCTAGTGTTCTGTAGGGAGGGGAAAAAATATAGGCGGGGCTATATATATTTATATTTTAACTGCAGCATTGGTAGTTTTTTTTGGAGTGGGGTATTGCGTTAAGTCATTCTGGTTTGTGTGGACTCTTACTGCCTGGTTATTTTCCACTATAGCCTGACACAGGGGATGAGCTCTCTGCTTCTAGATACTCGCTGGTCATAGCTATTTAACCCTCCATTCTGGCTCTAATCTTGAGGCTGGTGTGAGACAACCCATCACTCTTGAGGATGTGTATCAGTATTTGCCCATTTTCTTACACAAACTGTTCTTGGTATAGTTGTAAATATAACCCCAAGGGACTGGGACTTTGGTAGGTATACGTGGTCCCTGCAGCAATGTTATGGGCTGGCTGTGGGGCAAGTGGCCCCCTTGGGGCTCCAATAAGGTTATTGGCAGTTGGGAGCCCCACCACTGACTGCTGGTCAGGGTGTTCCACCCTGGGAAGCCAAATAATGCTTCTTCAGGGTTACCAGGACAAGGTTACCCAGCACAAGAAGGCTGTGGACCTGTTGAAGCAAGTCCAGAGGAAGTGATGGAGCTGCTCTGAGGGCTGGAGCCCCTCTGCCATGAGGACAGGCTGAGAGAGTTGGGGTTGTTCAGCCTGGAGAAGGGAAGGCTCCAGGGAGACCTTACAGCAGCTTTCCAGCATCTGAGAGGGGCCAACAAGAAAGCTGGGGGAACTTTCTACAAGGGTATGAAGTGAAAGAATGAGGGGTATAGGTTTCAAACTGGAATAGGGTAGATTTAGATTAGATCTCAGGAAGAAATTCTTTGCTGTGAGGGTGGTGAGACACTGGCCCAGGTTGCCCAGAGAAGCTGTGGGTGTCCTATCCCTGGAGGTGTTCAAGGCCAGGTTGGATGGGGCTTTGAGCAACCTGGTCTGGTGGGGATTAGTACAAGATGATCTTTAAGGTCCCTTCCACCCCAATCCATTCCATGATTACAGATCAGTGGTACCTCTATGAGGTTCATGTGAACATCCGCCACCCCAGAAAGCAGAACATTACACCCCAATCCATTCCATGACTACAGATCAGTGGTACCTCTACGAGGTTCATGTGAACATCCACCACCCCAGAAAGCAGAACATTAAAGCCTGCGGTTAATAATGATGGCAGATCTGCAATGGACGCTGTCTGCGGTTGTTGTTCTTTTGTTTTTACTTCACCGTTTGCAAAGAAAACAAAATCGCACGCTCTCCTTAGCGGGCCCAGGGGAGCTGTGGGGCAGGGCCTGCATCCCTGCTCACCATGTCCTGTGGGAGCCGAGAAGGGGCCGCCCTCCTTCTTCCAGCAGCTGCTGCCGCCAGCCAAGCTCCGGGCCTGAAAAACCAAACGTTCAGGGTTTGTTTTTTTTTATTTTTTAAGGCTTGTCTCCTCAGCACTCGCCCTGGGGAGGGTGGGGGTGTCCCTTTCCCCCTCAGGGCCGGGCCGGGGCCGGTCCCTCCCGCCGCCGCCTCAGCGCCCGCTTCCCACAATGCCCCTGCTGGAAAACAAAGTCCCCACGTGACCCGCGGCGCGCGGAGCCCATCATGGCGTCTCCCAGCGGCTGCCGGCCCCAGCCCGGCGGGCAGGGCGGAGGCGCCGGAATCGGGGCCGGGGCCGGGCCGACGGCCCTACGAGGGGCCGAGGAGGACGCCGAGGGGTTGTACGTGGCGGTGGAGCGGTGCCCGCTCTGCAACACCACCCGCCGCCGCCTCACCTGCGCCAAGTGCGTCCAGAGCGGCGACTTCGTCTTCTTCGACGGACGCGATTCCGAGAGGTACCGGAGGCCCCTGAGGCGATGGGGGTGGTTTTTGGGGGGGAACGGGACACCCTCTCCCTCCC